CATTCCTGCACAGAGTACCTTGGCTGAAATAAGCTTGTGCCAAGGACTGACTTTTCTCCTAAAAAAGGAGTTGACGGCTCTTTGGGCTGGAAAGGGGAGAAGTGACTATCATTTCTAGTGTGAGAAAGCTCTAGTAGTGTATCATGCTGCTGCCAATATGAAACTACTTAGAAAGCAAACAAACAGTGTTTTACTATGTTGTTCTGTGCATATTTGACAGTCCCTGAACAGAAAATATCTAGACATTGAGGCAGTCTTTGGAGAGAAAGGCTTGATCAGTTTTCTGGCTGCAAGCATGAAATGTACTACTTCTGAAGAGAAGAACTGGCCATGTCAGAACCCAGGTTTCCATTGTGCCATATTGCCACCTCTGTTCTCTCTTATTTTGTCTTTTGCTAGGTAAATGATGGTTAGCGATATGTAATATATATTTCTGTAATCTTTACCTTTTTTGAGAGATTATTTTTCGTTTCTAAATTGAAGCAGTCTTGCGTTTGTTTTGTACAGTGTAAAGATGTCTAGGTATTCAGGTGGACAAGTCAATTTTCTTTTTCTTTTTTGTCTTTTTAGGAAGCTTGTGTGTGTGTTGTAGTCTAGCCTCTGATACTCCTGATGAAATAATGTACTCCATATATTTTTTACATAAAGGTAAGATAAATCTGTTAAGTTATGCTTTATTTTGGAGAATGTCACTTTGCTGAAAGAGTCACAGAATGCCTTGCAAAACAAATGACTACCAAAGTCAGTAAGTTACTGTGGCTGGTGTTTAAAGACAGCAGCTGCAAAGTTGACTTTCCTGCTGCAGCTTCCTGCCTGATGCTGAACAAGTAGCTTCAAACCAGTGGCCTCCTGAGTGGCTATTAATTTGGTCCCTTATTCCTAGCCAGACTTTCCGGCGTGCTGAGCACAAACATTAATGAAATCTGTGGGAGCTTGCAGGTGTGTTGTACTTATGCCATCAGGCATTTGTATGGGAAATAGAGCCAATAACTTTTAGCTTGAATGTCTGTTTAGATTTCCAGTTCAACATGTCATTTTCACAGCAAGAGGTGCAACACCCACTGACTGTAAGAATAGCTGCTATGTAAGTGGTGCTCTAGCTCTTCATTTTAAGACCTATGTTTTTTTTTCCTTGAAAATAATAAAGAACATTGGTTTTATTCTGATCAGAATAAACCTCATCATTAGCAAAATCTTTCTCGTTTGATACATGGAGGGGAAGGGCGAATTATTTCTCAACTGGGAAGCTGCATAAGATGGAGTAACTGTTCAAGTGGACAACGTACCTCTGTTACTTTAAGTGTTTCTGTCTTGTGTCAGGAAACTTCATGTGTCAGAGCTGCACTAACATGTTGCTTTGCTGCTGGAACGTTGTGGGGTTGAATGAACTGCATTTTTGTGTTCTTGAAGGCATGAACAAATTGGAACAGTCTATTCTGGGTGTGGCAGCACCCTGCATTGTACTGCTATGAAGGGCTGATTTCCCCAGGCGTACTAGATGCATAGGTAAAGGGTGATTGCGTTGCCTGGAGACAACCATGGCCCTTCTACATCCCTGTGTGTACCAGGAAGAAACTGAGGATAAATATGGTGACATTGACCAGCTGCACCTGAAATTACCTTCATGGAATGGAGTTGTTTGGTGCAGAGCTGTTTGTGGATTCATGTAAGGTTCATCAATCTTACAAGAGAATTTTAAGACTGGTCCTGAGGTGCCGCACAGAAGCAGTGGTATATCAGGTCCTTGAGCCACATTTTGGAGACGTATAAGGAGCTCAGTCTGTGCTGCAGCATCTGTAAACTCAGAAGGAAGCTTTTTGCCCCCTGTTAAAGCACTCACTTGTAGTATAAACACAAAAGTCATGATGTTGCAGGTGTATTCTGCAGTGCTGGTATTAGTTTGCATGTGTTTGTGTTGGCAAGTAACAGGGTGGTCATCATGAGTATACTGACTCATTGCAAGCAAACTTCAGTCAATATCTTGTGTGAAAAACCGTTTGGTTGAGATACCACTTCATCTGTAGTGTTGCCGTTGGTCTTGGAGGTCTCTTTTTTGCTTTGAAGTATAGATAAAGCATACCTCTCTTCTAGGGTCAGGAATCAAAGTCCTGGATGAGTAGCTGAAGCATGGCTCATGATCTACTTTTTTTCCTCGGTGGTCCTGTAAATTGTGGATCTATCATCTTATCTTGAATTTTCATGCAGTATTAAGTAGCATCATGATCATGACACCATTCAGCCTTTAGGATACTGCAGCATGGAGATTTGGAGGCCAGTCGTCTCCTTAGTTATTTTAATTTTCAGCTTTTCTCAGAGATTGAGGAAGTTTGAGGGCTCTGTCATTCTTACTGGATACCAGAAGTAGTATGGTGCAAGTCTAGAATAAAGTAACAGCTGTGCTGATGCAAAGCCCATGCAAACACAGCAAGTCTGAAATTAGCCTATGTTTAAACAGAGCTGAACTAAGTTACAGCAGTAGGGCATGCAGGTAAACAAACTGGAAATTCTTTAAAGCAATTGAAAGACCACCAAAATGTGAAACACAGCTATGTAAAGGATTTGTGTTTGGGGTTTTTCTTCAGGGAGAGGTGTTTTTACACAAGCTTGCTCTGGGATGGAATGCTTCTTTAAACATGAACATAGGCTGTGCAGTGCATGGCCAGTTTCCACATACTAAAGAACTGCATTGTGTGGGTGCAGGTCTACTAAGTATGCAGCAACTCTCTTTAGGATGAAGTAGATCTGTCTGTGCAGACAAGCCTGTAAAACAGTCTAAAATATCCCTGTTTGGGTGTATTGGCACTGCTAAAGTTTCTAGCTATGAAGTCATACTTGGCTTGTAACAGATGGTGTTTATTGTTTGGGTTTTTTAAAAGTATTATTTTTTTTCCCAGGTTACAACAAAACTTTTACAGTTTCTCTAGAAAGAACAGAATCTCATCAATTGAAGGAAGTGGCTTTTATGAATCTTGGTAGGTTACTTGTGTTACTTCCCTGTGTGACTGCCATTCACTGTCCCCAGTAGGGAGACAAATGGCTAACCCTTCTCTAAAAGGAAAGGATTTTTCTTTCTTGACTTTAGGTAGTTGTGTTACTTTGCTGCTTTTTTTTTTTTTTTTGCTTAACTTTTATATTTGGCATTTTATACTGCAATATCTCACTATTAGTAAGCAACTTCCTCTGAAATTGCCTCAGAATCTGCTCTGGAGATCAGCTGCTGAGTTTTTGAGTGTCTCAAGCCTCTTGAATACTCCCCTGGAAACCCAAATGTATTGCTAGTGTTTCCTGTGTTAATACAACAGCAGCTTTTAATTAACTCCTTTTATATTTCCTAGATATAATCGATTCCATGAGAGAGAAGTGGGCCAAGTTGGGAATCATGTGAAACAGACTCTTAAACCAAATAGGTGAACAAGTGCTAAATTGACCACTGTTTTTTCTTTAAATAGATTATTATGTGGCTGCTTATTTGCCTGGACAGTTCCTGCACCTCCTGAATATTCAGCATCCTGACCTGCTGTGCTATAGTTTATTTCTGACAGGTATAGTGAGACTGCTGCTTGAAGTAATTTTATTGTTGTAGTGGAAATCTGTTCATATCATGAAAGTTGTATTTTTCAACATCAGCTTTATTGTACAGTGTTCCGAGGAAGAAGGAGAGAGATTGAAAAAATAAGAATGGTGTTTTTGCCACTTTCCATTTTAAAAAGAGAATCTGAAGTGATACTGCATATTTCACCTATTACGTACTTCTAGCTTGTTATGAAATGGAAGAAGACCTTTCACTGAATTTGAAATTGTTTGCCTTGGTTTCACAGTTTCCCTTCCCCCATCTTTGCACATGCTTCTCAGTCCCTCCACTGTTCTCAAATTTCACATGGAGATGTAAATTTGATTTTACATTTCCTTCCTCCAATTGAGTTGCTCTAAATGTCTGTGTTTGGAGGGTGTGGGGAGAGGAAATCTGTGTTTCCTTCACCTGATCAGGCTGATGCAATTTGATTTAGTCTCATCTGAGAGGCACGTTATTTCATTTCCAACGAACGTGTCTTTATGGGAAGTGGGTTATTTTTGGAAGGTGGGGAGGGCCTTTGTTTGAAAACAGAAATCTGTTCTTCTGACTGGGTGAAGGAGAGGTAAGTAGTGGGAACTGGTGCAGGGGCAGCATCACGGGAAGCTTAATACCTGTTGTGTTAAGAGTCTTAAGAGAAATACTGGTAGCAGCCAAATTTTATGTTCTTAGTTCTTTTTATTCTCTAACCAATGTTCTTCAGGTGAGGAAGCAAGAATTGACATGTTGCAAAACTGCTCTATCCGATCCCCACTCATGTCAACAGTCTTGGATTGCCACATAGGAAGTATGTATGCCGTGAGCATCAGAGACAGCACCTTACTACAGTTCCTACAGAACAGCAAACGAGATAGCGAGAGATTGGCAGCTCTACATTGTGCTCTGCTGCACTTCCAGCACACGGAAGACTTGGAAATGCAGGTGGGAAAAGACCTTCCTCTAAGTTTTTTCAGTGACTGATGTCTTATATGAAGCAGGGTCAGGGCATGAATAATATCAACCAAAGAAGAATGGAAACATTCAAGACCAGGTTGGACAGGGTTCCGAGCAACCCGATCTAGTTAGTGGTGTGTCCCTGCTCACTGCCGGGGGGTTGGACTAGATGACCTCTAGGGGTCCCTTCCAACCCAAAACTTTCTATGATTCTGTGATTCACATATAGCTTGTGGCAGTGCCAAGAGGCTCATCAACTGGGCTGCCCAAACTGCTTTATTGGTCAAGGCTGTCCTGAAAACATTTATCTCTGTATCACTACTTCATGCAAAGTGTTACTACCAAAAGCAAAATTTCTACAGTCTCTTACAACACATGCTGAAACAAAGAGATGTGACAAACCCTGTTCTCATTCTGACAGATTATTTGGTGGATTTCTGAGAACCTGTCAACATGTCATTCTTTTGACCCCATTCAAGAATTTATCATTGGTAGGTATTGCTTTTCCTGCATGCTGAATTTTCCTGCATACCTTAGTTGTGACTTAAGGAGAAGCCACAATGTCACAAACTGACTGACTCTCTTTCTGAACTTTCTGGTTATGATTTATGTTAACTGACATGCATTTTGTGGTGTTAGAGACAATATCAGTAGTTTAGAAGATACATAGATCTCTCAAAATCAGATCGGCAGTAAAACTTTTCAAATGCATTCTTCTGTCTAGTGGGACAAATAGATTTATCATTATTTTAGGTCACTGGAGAGCAAATTCTCCATCTGGCTCCCGTCTTGGATATCTGGGATGTAAATAATTGAGACTGGAGCAGAGGAATAAATCTCATTTAGCCCAGCCCATTTTTTCATAAGGATTTGGCATATCATGATATTCTGTTCTAATAGCTGATTTCTCAGCCTAGCCAGTGCCTGTCCTGTGCCCTGAGCCTTTGTACAAAGGACCCCTGCAGTGCTGAGCTGTAGCCAAGCAGCTGACCCAGCCCTGCAGCCATCTGGACTTCTCTTCCTCCGTTTGTGCACAGAATGGGACCAGGTCCACCATGGAGGAAGCTGTTTCAGAGACAGCAGCAGGATTTGTCCCTAAATAAGTGTTAGATAAGGAACAGATTGTGAAGCCTACTCTTGTTAACTGATAGTTTATACAATCTTGCCCTTATAAATATTTTTATATTACATTCAGCCTCCCTGTACTGCAGAATGTGTTCAGAAACTCACAACCTGGATAAACTTTTGCCCTACACATCACTGCTTGACTGGATTGGGGTAAGATAACAGCTGGTACTTTAATTAATAGCTAGAGGGAGTCTATTTTTCCTCCTTTAATAAAACATCTAACTTGTATGCTTTACCTTTTCATAGACATGCTTAAATCCATATCTATGCTTTATACCTATTTTATTTTGTCAAGTCTTAACCTTAGTGGTATTTTCCATGAGTCCTATTTTTTGTCAAAAAATAAAAGCATTTATAAAACAAGAACGGCTACTATGATGGAACGGATGATTAAGTCTCTCAGTTTTCATAATGAGGTATTAATTGATTGCTTATTATGAGGTTTATAATGAACACAAAATATATTTAACCAGCACAAAACTATGCAGTTATTTCCAAGACAAACAATATCAGGAGAGTTAAGATTTATGAGTAAGTTTGCAGAACTAAAATAACTTTAGGCAAGACCCTACAGTTAGAGCAAATAGCTTATTTAACTTCTTTGATCTGACTTTGATCTGTTCCAATGTTGTCTGTTTTTAAATGAGGTGAATGAGAAAACATCTTCCATATTTCTTGGCAAAACTGAATGTACGGTTTTGGCTAGCTACCTAGTTTCACAAAGGAAATGGGTAATGGAGATTCACTTAGCTACCCAAACAAGCCCATGTTTTGTGCTAAATGATTTATATTCTTATCTGTATTTATAGATTATCCCTGGAGTAACATGTGCAACAGACATTATTTCTCTACCTGTGTTAGAGGTAAGTTCCAGTATAAAACCACATTTGTATTTGCAGGTCAGGAGCTTCTTTTTGTGGGGTGGGGGTATGCTAAATACTAATGAAGCAGTGTTCCCACAGCCCTATCCAAAAATAGGGGTGAACAAAAAATTGCCCTGTTTGAAATGTCTTATGCATTTACTAAAATACCAGCTGTTCAGACTTAGGTTTGCTAGCTCAAAGACGTGTTTTTTCTGAAGAGACTTCTTCCAATCAACAGGGAAGGTCCTCCAAGAATTAATTCTTGTTAGATTTGGTTGATACCTCTTTGTTTTGTGACTTCATTAGCTGGAGGTAAACTTGGCATAACAAGGTGTGTCTGGATTTCTACATATCTCTACCTATACCCGCTTAAAGGGATATTTCATTGTGCTGCCATTGGTACCAGTGGTTCGTGACCCTCTCACTTTGTTTTGTCCAGAGCATCCTGTGTTTGCACTGATGTCAGGGCTTTGACTACCTAAATCTAGACAAATTTGCCATTCTGTGATTCTGTGAAATTCCTGCGTGGCCTGGAAAAGGTGGTGAACTGGATGGGGAGAGCACATGCTGTTTGGGTGGGAAATTGTACTTTCCATTGAAAACAACACGAATGATTCTTCTCGTCTTCCATTCTACTCCCTCAGCTCCAGTTTAGAGTAATACTTGAAATTTTCATAAGTGTTCCTCTACAGAATCTGAAAGAGGCTTTTAATAAGCAGCTTGTTGTGGAGGGCTAATGGGAAGAGTCAGAGTTTGAACCCAAGAGTACCAGCAACATGTGGGAGTAGACTCTGGATACATGACAATATTGTTTCATGTAGCACTTTAAAGAGGTGAGAGTCTGTTTCCTCCCCAGTGCTTATAATTAGCTCATAAAGCTTCAGCATTCACAAAATCTTTTAAAATCGGTGAAATTACCCACTGCTCACTCACTCCACAACACTGCATCACAGCTGTGCTGCTACAGATTCATACAACTGCTGTCGGGGAATCGGGCTTTGCAAGCTTTGCTTGGGAAGGCTGCCCTGAGAGCTGGGACACCTGGGAAAATCAGATCTTGAGAAAATTTGTTGCTAGATAATCCCTGTAATTCACTGAGGTCAAAGTTAGCAGGCCTTTAATTTGTCTGAGATTGAACCTCAAGCCCCCTGGGGGCAAATGCCTTTAGCAGCTATACTTCCTGATTGTGGAACTCATTTCCTATTTCTGTCTGAAACCTAAACAGATTGAAAAGGTCAGAGTTGAGCTAAAGACAAATATTTCCTGCTACTTTTGGCTCCAAATTGCTCTGACTCTTAAGTGAGGACAAAGATGATAATACACAGGGTAAGGTTTAGCGCTTTGGCTGCTTTGTACCACTGTAGTGGCACCAACCCACCATAGCTGGGGTCCAGCTGGTCAGTTGTTGGGGTTTCAGTTGGTGCGTGTTGTTGTTGGCGTTGCAACTCAGACCCTGGTGACAAATCTGGCCCTATAAATAGTATCTCTTCTGCAAAGATTTTATGGCATTTCACAGAAACAATGGTGAATTGTCACTTTGAGAAGCTTTTTGGAGTTCCAAAGCCTGTGAATTGTTGAGAGCCTTTGGTAGGGCTATGTGCATATTCACAAAAATTGTGCTATTTGGGTAACAGGTGTATAGTTATCACTAAATTCCTGTTCAGCAAGAGTTACTGAGAGAGTTTATGAGAAAGGGGGAACAGTTGGAGTCCGATTGTCAAAAAGCTTTACATAAGGATTGTAATTAGTAAGAGTCTGGTTGTTTTCTCTTTTTTTTTCTTTTTTTTTTTTTTTTTTTTTTTTTTTTTCCCTTTTTAAACCCAGAAACCAAACTTGAAGGGGTGCAAATAGGCTTGGTCAGAAGGGGAGAAGGAACGGGCAGGAGGAAGAAGGGAAGAAAATAGGAGGAGGTCCAGGAGAAGAGTGAAGATGTGTAGTGCAAGCAGTTGTCAGAGACATCAGCGCAGGAAAAGGCAGCCTCTCCCTCATGCTGTGCTGAGCCGGTGGGGTGAAGAGTCACCGTGTAAGGAGTAGCTGCCTGTGCAGCTACATCGTTACACAGCTCTCTGAATAGCTTCACTGCTGGGGAGACACAGCACTAGAGTTCCCAGGGAGAGCACATGTGCCTCTTAGAAGTCATTAGCACCCTGCATCCTTTCAGAGGGGTACAGCAGAGAGCTCTCTTTGCCTTCAGTTAAAAGAACACTACTTATGAGAGGCTTTATGGGAGCTTTTACCATTAAAACTTTGCAACCTGGTAAGGCCTTGCTTTGACTTCTAGTAATACAATGTCTTTTAGGTGTTCATGTCAGGCATTAATTCCTGACTCTCTAGAAACGTCTGCAAAATAAACACAACCTAAGACGAAGTCTTCTCTTTCTAGTCCTTGCCCTGATGATCCTCAAGAAATAAGATTTAATTAAAATAATCCGTTATTTTAAACGTTTGACTTTTTAATGAGAGCTAATACAGTGCAGATTTTCAGTGGTGTCTGCTTTTAATTCTGAAGGTTGCCACTTCCTGTTACAGACTCAATATATGAAAGAAACTTGCTGTCTTGCTTCCCTCCTTCCACACATGAAACAAAATCCAGCGTGGCCTGAATGCAATTTTGCAATGGTGGTGCTGTCGCAGTTGCATAAATTGGTCGCTAGGTGATACCCTTGCACTATATTCTTGGTATTTCTCTGATTTGATATTGGTAACATTTAGGCAATGCACTGCAGTAGTAGGTTGTAGATCTTGTTGGTTAGCTCGAGGAGGAGAACATACAGTGCCATATTGCACTCCTAGTTTCCAGCTGCTAAATATAATGAAGCAAAAAAGAGATTTATTTTTCTCTGCTGCAACTACAACAATAAAGTGACAATTGGCGCTGGCAGCGAGAGGGAAGTGGCTGGCAGGATTGAGTCTCTGCAATTTATTTTTCCTTAGCAAATTGTAGTTTATAGTAGGAAGTGGTTTTAAAGGCTTCTGTCGTTTTCTTCTGAAGTTATTGTCATTGTAGAAAAGTAGGGGGGAGAGAGCAAAATCCAACATGTTAATGCAAGACAGAAGAATACTGTGAACTCAGACTTCTCTTCCTTCAAATGTCACTACTGTAGTGTCTGTATGGGAAGGTAAATGTGTATAAAGAAGGGCAAGAACAGCTAATACTTGTTTCTTAAAATGGCCAAAAATAATTGCCTTAATCTCATCTCTTCCTCAGCAATGATCACATCACTCCGCATTTATAAACAGTGGCTTCAAATCTTTATACCCAGTCCAAGAAACAGCTCAGGAAACCAGTGTGTGTTTGTTTGGGTTTTTTCCTCCTGTCAGCTCACAGCTGAGTTTAAATTAATTTCAGCATTAGAGTCAAAGGCTTTAGAATTGCTATGGAAATGTTTGCATTTTGTTTCTTTTCTGGGATGAGGCACTGTCACTTGAGGTTGGCAAATGGATGTTTGCAACATAAGTATTAATGCAGCTTGAAAATAGTGGCAGCCTGTGGCTGCTGGGGTCATGGTGGTGTTCCTCTACTTGGAACTACTAGAAACCCAGAATGGGATTTGTTTGACCAAATGTAAACATTTACATCTAAGTCAGCTGCCTAAGGCTCCTTTGACAGTCAGCGGAAGTCTACACAATGCGGTCAGTGTAGTCTGTGGTGCAGTTCTTCCCATCCCAAACATCTGAAATAGGTCAGATGAATTATGAACCAGAAGTACTTGTTTCTTCCCAGTGACTTAAAAGGATCCTAAGGTGGCAAAGTATCTGCATTACAGGCACCAAATCTTGACCTCCCATTTAAGTAAGTGCTACCCCGATGTCAAATCAAGGAAATGAAGGTACTGGAAAAAATAGTGTAACTGGTTTTGTTTAACTTTTTTCACTTAGATTGTTATGAAGCTACATTAATCGCAGTTCTTTCCAATCACTTTGTGGGAGTGTGGTTAGGTATTTAATTAAGAGAGCAGCCTGTTATTCATGTTTTCCCTGCAATACTTTGCAGTTCCAAAACTCCAAAGGATTCTGGGAGAAACTCAACTCAAACTTGGAGAGTGTGAAGTATGCAGAGCCACACTTGCATTACCACAGTAATGTGCTCAGGAGGGAATGGCGTAACCTTTCAGAAGAGGTAAATATGCACACACTAAAGCAGTCTCCAGAGCTGCCTCTGAAGTGGATGTTTTAAAGCCAAACACAGAAGAGTTAGCTTTTTTTTTTATTTTGGGGATGAAGAAATGGGAATCTGACCATGAAAAGTGCAAAGATTTGCAGTCATTTTACTTATAAGGTGATTGCCTGTAAGTCTTACTCTGTTAAAATAACACGAGAAACTGAGCAAAAGCAGAGCTTGCATGTACCTGTATTGTGGCATGGGTAATTGGAAGGTGGGTTGAAGCCCCACTGTGCATTTTTTCCACTCAAAGGGAAAACCAGCTTCATTTCTGTTGTGGTTTAACTCCATCCCAGCCAAACCCAGCACAATTTCTTATCTGCATTTTATCAGGGAGTATTTTAATTGGCCTTCTAGTTTGTTCACGTGGGGATTTTTGTTTGTTTACAAACCAGAGAGAGGAGAGAAGAACCACAGCATATTTGAGGAATATTTTTGAAAATGCCAAAAAGTAGGTACCGTTTTCTATTATATCTACCCTTTCTTATTTTAAGTATGTTGAAGGATTTGATGTGCCATTTCAATAGTTGATTAGGTATTTGATTAGGTATCTTACTATAAAGAAGATTATCCAGCTGAAAATAAATTATTGGAATCCTTGTAATCATTACAGCATGATCTGAAGTATCCAGGCCTCTAGAGCTAGGGAATTTATGGTAGACAGGAAGAGTTTTTCTTATGCAACCCAGACAGATAGAATTTTTTTAATGCTATTTAATATCTTTACTAAATGTAGTCACATGCACAGTTCCTGGATTTCTTTAGCTGCCTTTGAAAGATCAAAGGGTCATTTAAGCTTTTTAATGTCCTTATGAAATCCTTTAGACTAATGCATATGAAACAAGCTGATTTTTTGTTTCAAACCCCAGGGTGCTTTCTCATCTGGACACTTGGGACTCTGGTAAGTAAAACTTGTCTTGATGTAGGCCTTAGCTGTAAGGTTTATTACAGTATTTCCATCTAGCTGTTGTTGGCTAAAAATAAATTGCTGTGTGTGTTTTCAGCACTGAAGAGTTTGAGGCATTAAGATGAGCAGTTACTAAATTAGAGGAAAACTTTTTCTCTGATAGTAGTGGTAGGTTAATACTGACTAGGAAACCTTTGAAAATAAAGTTCCTACTGCCTATTGGATCTAACAAGATAAGCAGTAAACGTTTGTCTGCCTAAGGATTCTTCAAGATTTTTCTCCTGGAGCAGAGTATCAATGATGGCATGTTACTGTTGAGTCTTGTCCACTTATAGCTGCCTTTGCAATTCTACAACTCATGTACAGTAGGAGATTGTGGCTGGTGAAAAATCATACTGTAGAGAAAGCAGACATAATGAATTTCCCTAGGCCAGGAACACTTGAGACTTTGTGATGCTCAGTTCCTCTGTCATAAATGAGTGAAACTGAATCTAGTAGTAAATTATGTTCCTGCTGTTCGCACATCAGTGCCTTCTATGTGCCCTGCTACTGTGGGCTGTGAGATTATGCTGGCGTAAGTGCTGCTCATGCCTTTTATTATGAAGAATTTTCAGTGCATTCATTTCCAGCCCCTAACACTGGTCAGCCACGCCACTGCTGGTTACTGCTGTGGGCTCTGACGTTGAGGGACCTTGTATTAACTTTGCTAGCCTCAGGTTCATGTTTTCCAAAGGTGCTTACTGATAAAGAAGTCAGATGTTTAACTGTTACTAGGGAATTTCTAGATAGCTGCCAGCCAGCAACAAGCATCAATGTAGTATATCTTCCCTGTAGCTTTTTCTTCAGGTCCTTTAAAATCAAGCAACACAGGTCTCTGTGCTGCTAAGTGGTGCAGTAAATATATTTCAAGGTGAGCAAAGATGGCTGGGAAGAACTTTGTAAAAATTTAGCACTTAGATCTGTGTTGACTTGATTTTATGCTACATGATGAAATCATGCTACATGATGAAATAGGAGATTGTTTTTCTTTGTTAGTAGACAGGAAGCACTGATTAGGAAATACAGGGCATTATACTTCAGTAAATACTATAACCTCCTTCTATTTAGTTATAAAAGTTGTGTTCTTTTACACAGCGGTCTGCAAATCTGAATAACAGAAGCAGCCAGACCATGGGAGAGAACCAGGAAAGTGGGAGGTGATTCTGTGGAATATTTACTCTGTGTCTAGCCATTTCCTTGTAAACCCATGCAGCTGTTTGGGCTTGTTTGTTAATGACAAGTTCTAAATAGCATATGCATTTGCACTAGTGTTACCAGAAGGTTCTCTGAGCCTCTTTGCTCCGTGGAATCACCACGCTGCGGTAACTCTCCCTTAAATATCAAAGAAGAGAGTAGTGTAAATGAAGTGTAAAGTGGTTTAACAGGCTTATGTTCCTCTATGCTGAGTGTTAAGCACTTGAGGGAGAAGATAGGCAGATACAGGGTTATTTTCCACTCCTCAATTCTCTCTTATGCAGGCCTTGAATCTTCACTGTCTTAGTTCTGTAGGTGAGCAGATCAAACCACAACTTCTGTTTGTTTGTGTATGTTTCTAAGTACTTTTGAAGCTGGCTGAAGTCTCGTGGTGTTTCTATAGCAGTATGTCCTTGAATGATTCTTGCTCTGTTTATTTCAGAGGAAAGGCTAGTACCTCTCTTTCAAGAGGAAGATTATCAGCAGCAATTACTAATGGGACTGGTATGTGCTTTTGTCACAGTGTGCACTAGAGGACGCACAACCTCAACAAATGTAAAGAGTAAACTTACAAGTTCCAGTGCTGAGTAGAAGCTCACTCAAAGTAGCTATGGGACAAACATGGTATTTCCTAAGTTTTAGAGTTCATACTCATGATATTATATCATCTTAACATCTCATGATATCATAAGGCATCAGGGAAAAACAGCAATGGAAAGTTGATTTGTCAAAATGCTCTTTGCATTACAACTTTTTGGTTTTTGCCAGCTTTTTGTGTACAACTTTTCTTTGGCTAGAAGCTGTTATTTCATCCTTCTGGAGTTTGTCTTGGTCAGTTATTTTTGGGCTGCTTTACATCCTTAAAACATGTATAGGTGAATTCCCCATCCACTGCTTACCTCAAAGAGAAGATCACAGATCTTCTTGCTCCTCAATTTAACACCTTTTTTACTGTCTTCTTTTCCTTTTACCTCACTTCTGGGACTGTTACGGCTATTCTGAGGTCCCTTCCTCTTTTGCACTGTTTTCACTGATGATGTCCCCAAAGGATCTACCATCCTTATGTTTCTGGGTGATAAATCATATCTCCAATCCCTACCTGTCCTCCCTCTGTCTAAATACACATCTTCACTTATCTCTTGTTCTCTTACTATGAAAAGCAAATAAAACTCGTCAGCATGCACTGGAAGGTCTCAGCACTGCACATGTGAAGAGCATATCAACACTGTCCTGTCTGTCCAAATCTAAGGCAAATTTTCATTCTTTGCAGTCTTGTCCCCTTGTTTCCAAGTTCTGCCTCTCATTCTCTGAAGCTTCTCTACATTCCTTCCCTGCAGTTTATTCAGACAGATCCAAAAAGTACATCGCTGCTGTCCTTTGTCTATGCTTTCCTAATATCTATATTACTGTCCTGACACACTAAGATTAACCTACTTGTAAACTGCTTGAGACAGAGATTTTATTTGCCTCAGTTTTTCTCTGAGCTTTGAAGCAAGTAACGCTTCATAGTAGTTGTCAGCAAAGAAGCAGCATGGACTTGAGTTGCAATCAGAAATATGGGAGGTCCGAGAATATTTCAGAAAGGAGAGGGTAGGGAGTGGCATGGACTGTATGATAACAAACACCTGATTTTAAAGACTTTACAATTAATGTTTAACTTGAACTTGCCATTAATCACTCTGGTTCTCAAGTTCTTGGCTACTACCACAAACTGTACTTGTGCTAGTTTTCTCTGTCGTAAAATCCCTCAGGTTTATTTGTATGTGATAAATACTTAGATTCTCAGGATTCAGTGTTCATATTAAAATCATTCTTTCACCCTGTTCCCTTGGCTTGACCCAGACAGATGTAAGAACCATAGGCTTTTTTTATTCAATGTCATTGAAAGTTTAATTTAGCACTCATTTTGCTGAATTCGCACCAAGTAACCATTTTGAATATTCAGATCTGCTGTTGAATTAGGCAAGCTTGTATGGTAGCTTGACATCTCACCCTGAACTGGAGTTTTGTAACTGGGAAGGTTTTGTTGTGCTAATTTGTATTGTTCAGGCCCTGCACCTGGTGGAGCTTTTGTATCTTTTTGAAGATGCCACCAGGACACTGAATTGTTGGCTTTTTTTTCTAGATGGTTGCTCAGCTAAAGGATCACCTTATGAGACATCTGCAGTATGTAGGAAAAAAGAAGATTGACCAAATAGTTTTGGATTACGTTGCAAACCTGGTTAGTTTGATTTCATGGTCACTATTGTGAGCAAGCATGTATTTGTTGGGGGGGTGGGTATTGGGTATGCTTTGTGTGTATATAGCATATGTTTGGTGGGAAGAGGTTGTTTTTAAGATGTTTAACCGTATTTTGCTGCTTACTATGCTTATATTGATAAAGGACATAATAATACTTAAACAATATTAAGAGGAGTTGTACTGGTCACTCAGAATACAGAAGAAACAGTTCCCTTTACAGCTTGTACAGATACAGGCTACTCCCAGAAGTGAAAATGTGAACTCATGCTGGAAGTTGAAAGAACAGTCTTTAGATCCATTGTGTTTCCTGTGGAATACATTGCTGCATGTTTTGAATAATGAAAGTGCCATCGGAGGAAATAAAAATTAAGAAAAAAAGGTTTCTCTCCAATATGGCACGAGAGTAAATCATCACTACTCCTACATACTGACTTTGACAGGCTTTTTGTGAGTGTAACAGGAGACAGTTTTTTGCGTGAAGAAATCCATATGAACTACAGTGAAAACTTGCTTTCCAAATTCTTAATTTTCTGTCTTTCATCCTTTTAAGAGAAACTTTAAAAAAATCAGCTGTAAAAACTGTGACTGTTGTGCATAGAAATTATTGTATCTGGTTTTGTCTGTCTCAACATCAAATCCTTTAAGTGCAGAATGCAGAGTCCACAAGAGCTCACATGGCAACTAGTAAATCGTGTTCTTTGTCTTTGAGCTAACCCTGTCACCCGATTCAGCAGAAACACCCCACAGTGCTGTTTTCTAGGGATGGAAGTCTCGGGGAACAATCTTGAGGGTACTGGTGCCTGCATCTTTTCTGAAGTCCTGTGCAAATTGGTTGTGTCTCGATGTTACAATGTTCTTTGAACCACTGCAGTTTCCACTCAGGTTACAGACTTTTCTGTTCAGGCCTTAGTGGACAGCTCAACAAGTTGTTTTACTGGTACTACGCAGGCTGTTTTCTGTATCTTTACAGAAAGGAAAAACTAGTGACTGATTAAAATAGAAACAGTACAGCATGAACCAAAGCTTTGTACCTGAAAACAGTGCTGAAAGTGGAATGTTTTTTCTCCTTTCATTTTTTTCCAGTTATCATTTGTTCATTCTTAGTATAAACTAAGATTAAAAAATATGAAACACCTATGCAGCCTTGATCTGCAAGACTAAATTATTGTAGACGAAATCTTACAATCAAAACAAATCTCAGCCCTCCCCACCAACATACTCTGACCTCTAAAGAAATTTTTTTTTTTTTTTAGTGTCACTAAAAGCAAGAATTCTGTCAACTCAATTTACAGACTTCCCATTCTTGGACAAACTACTATAAACAAAGATAATATGTTTCTAAAAATTGCTTCTGCCTTCTGGCTGGCGCATCTTAGGTGCTGTTTGGAAATCTTCAGAAATTATTTCCTTGTTAGGCTTGGGTTTCCCCTCATCCTAGTCAGAAACTTTTAAATCTTAAACCTTTCTGTATCCTAATGGTTTGGAAGTTCTTCAGGGGAATGAATTGTTTTGATTCTTCCAACTGTTATGCAGCACGTAGCTGGGCTACTGAAACTAATGAAACAGGGAGAGACTTTAAATTATTTGCTTGTCTGCTTTCATAAAATGTTTTTTTATTGCATTCAGGAGCAAAGGAGTGGCTGACAATAGGGCTCCATGGTGTGTAGCCACTGTATAAATCAATTGCAGCTGAAGTCAAAGTAGCCAAGACACAGGAGCATTAACAGTTTCTTATGAAACAACAACCTAGTGGCTGGTTGCTATCAGAGAACTGTATTTGTATACAGAGAAGTAACCTGGGGAAGTGTGAATGAAATGTCTCAGTGGGAATTCCCTTGTTTGCCAGGGAGGTTTGCAGAGCTTGAGTGTGCCTCATTACCAGTTCACACACCACCTAGCCTACTGTAATTGTTTGTATGTCCATATTCTCTCTTCCCTGCAAGCTCTTTATCTTAGCTTTATTCTATATCTGTTTCTCTCATTCAGCAGAGCAGGGAAGGGGGGAAATAACTTTGAGCAGCAGTGTGACATTTGCTACCCTGACAGCAAGTGGAAGAGGAGGCAGAGTGAACAGACAGCCTGTGGCACAAGAAAAAGACAGACCAGAATAAACTGCTGACATTTCTCTGAAAGTCACTGCAGTGGCTGCAAGTTTTTGGCTGATGTCTGTGGCTAGCTGTCATCTGATGTGGTCTCAACTGTGGAGGAATAGAAGACAGGCACTATTTGGATTTGAGTTTCCTCAGAAGGAGGAGGACTGCCTCATGTCCCCTGTGCAGGAAGGAATCTGGCAAGACAGCACCCTGTCTTACTCCCATTCTCCTTTGCTCTTGATTCTTTTCTTCAGCTGCTTCCATGTCTTTCCTGTAGAAACAGCCACTGGAGCTGTGCACCTGTGGTTCCAAATGACTTCAGTGAACTTCAGTCTACTCGGCAAGGTGCTTTGCAAATGTCAGCCTAGACCCTACTGCATGCACTGTCTCATGGTTGATCATGTTTTCCCTCACTAGTTTAGGCTTCTGATACTTGCCCGGAAAAACCTCATATTGTATGTCTTCGTTACTAAATGCAAAATGACTTTGCTGTGAAGGTATGGGTCGGGTTTAGCTCTTGGTTCCCCTGGATACCCACTGCTAGCTGTGGAGAGGAAGCTGTCTGTACTCCCTCTATAAACCAGATCTTGTTTCCTTTCTCTCATGCACATCCTGTGTGTTATATACTGAAAATAGTTTGAGACATGGTTTCTCTTTCCGTATGTATTTTCTACGATGTCCATTGTGGCTGATCTCCAAAGTTAGTAGTGCTGGTGGTGAGGGTGTCACGCCACAGGCATGCATGTATTTAAGACTTAAGTGTGTTGCGATAGCTAGGTTGACAATGACTTAAGAAGTTGTTCTCTTTCTATACCCTGTGAAAGCCGTACAGTTTGCTCTATTGTTAAGCAAAGAATATTGATTCTGGAGTATCATACCCATGAAACCAATTTTTATTGTACAAATAAGAAGAGCTGATTCTGGAGTTTGTAAGCAGCTTTCCCTCACCTCAACGCTGATCTTCAGATCCAGCTGTAGCTGCTAATGCAGGGGCCGTAACTGCACCCTGTGTGCTGGCCAGAGATGAAAGTCATTCCGGCAGCAGGTGCGGTTCTTGTGACCCTTCTCTGAAAACTGGAAATCACTCATTTCCTTGAAGACAAGTGGAGAAAACTTTCCATACTCTGGAGAGATTAAACTAGAGCTTTCCACTGTATCCAGAAAATATGAAGATGGAAAGTATTAGGTGGTTATCCTGCGGGGGATAGCTGTGCAAGGCTGGATGGAGTGGTGGAGGGAAAAGGTGTGCTACCTTGTAGAGGTACCTTGGCCAAGGTACAGAGGAAAGCACTCGGGAGCATTACTGAAGACCAATGTTCCTGTTCTGGCCTTTGCATGTGAACCTCTCCTGTTGTGTCCTCTTTCTCTTTTGCTTAGAGCCTGTGACAAGTTAGGGGCTGGAGGGGGCGGAGCCTATCAGGAGAAAAGAGAGTGGGGAAAAGGATTCCTGGATTCTGGCCATCTTGGTGAGGGAAAAGGGTTTGTAACTTCTCGTGACACCTCTCTGCAAAACGGGGGTCAAACTTGCTTCCTGAGAGTTTCCTGGGATTGATTGATTGGTGCACTTTGAGGGCTGGAGATAAAAGGCATAGAGGAAATGTCTCAATTCTGTTACTGAGATGTGGAAGTGGTTACATGTGACAACTGTGAGGGGCTGGCTAGAGGAAGTCGTTTCAACTCTTTAATGTGTAGTTTCTCTCTTTCAGCTGCAGGAGCTTAGAAGGCCCAAGTGAGAAACAGGGCTTGTGGCTTTTGTGTGCTGACAGTCTGTACTGGAGGTCTGCCTGGAAGTGCAAAGAAACAGCAATATGGTCCAAGGGATTGTTTTATGGATAAAAAGGAAACTCAGTAGAGGAGGAGAAGCATTTGCTTGTCTCATCTTTCCTCCTTGCCAGGACTGGATTTGTGATTCCTCCTGCAGACTTTTTTCAGCAAACCAAGTAGTCTGCTGTCTTTAGCAGCATCCAGTTTTGTCTGGGCCCTAGGGACCTTTCCTTGCCAAATGCTCAGCCACCTGCACATGCGTTTTTTGCTTTCATGGCAAACAGATCTTTGAGACTTTGATGCAAGACTGTGAGCTCAGTTGATCCCCAAGAAGCATGATGTGTTAAGATGCTGCATGTTTTGCATAATGCCTTGATGAGCTTGGAGCACTTACTGTAAACTTCTAGAAAGGGGCAATTCAGTTACAATTCAAATTTTAATCAATTTTACAGTTTAAGCCCCTAGGGAAAAAGAAGATAAATACTGAAGTCTTCGTAGGAATCTCATGATAAGTTTTTAACATAACCCGGTGTGTGAAATGAATGAAGGTCAAGGGCCTGCTGTACGCAGGCTCCTAGAAACATTCAGTCTTGTCTTTTTTGTTTTAGCTGAATCTGGTACATCGAATAATGAAAGAAGTTTGGAGGAGATACCAGCTTCATTCCTGCATCTTCTGCTTGTGAGCAAGTCATTTATAAAGTTTTCAGCCTGCTTTTTAAAATATGGGCTTAATAATTTTGGTCTTTAACAATACTACTTGCTTAAACAGTCAGTGCTTACTCTACTGTGAATGTCAATATGGCTGTCATTTATTTTTTTTAATGATCCTGCTCTGGCCCTCTCTTAAGCCAACATGAATGTTAATCATATAGGCCGTTTTACAGCTGGAGTTCAAAGTTGCTGAGTTTGCAGTGATCTCAAGCTGACTAGTGGGTGTTGAACACCTATAAAAGCCAGATCACTTATACCAGCACTCAGAATGTTTCACCTGTTGCTGTTGATACCAGGTCCTGCTGAGAGACTTGTAAATATGTAGTAGTGAGGGAAGGAGAAAGGGGACACCATAGAGACACTGTGTGTCAACATTTAGATAAACAGCTAATGCTGTTAGGGGACAGACACCTAAGCAAACCAGATAGCATCCTATGGCAAGTCACCCAAAATGCATGCATTTAGTGCACATGTGGCACAACAAACTGACCATATCTCTAGGAGAGTGTGGGCATCTCAGATTCCTAATATGTTGGTGCTTTATTAAATACAGTGATGAGAGAGGAAGTACAGGAGAGTTTGCAGTGTTCCACATCATGAGTCGGATTCTGGAAGCTGCAAATGGCATGTGCATGCCTTTACCTCCTGGTAAGTCCTATGTTTTTCTGTTTTAATCATAAGTGAGGAGAGCAATGCTCCGAATTCCTCGTGGAAGAGCAGTAGTTGCAGCACATGTCAAGTTAGTTTTGGCAGTACTGAAATCTGTTCAAGACAGTTACAGAGGGGAAGACCCTCCATAAACACCTGCAAGTGAAATGAAACAAAACTGAATGGTTACTACAAATATAGACAACACATCGGAGGTTTAGTTCTCTGTTTTCAGATTCCAGTGGAACGTTTGGGCACAGTCCTAGCTCAGAACTAAGATTTACACTTCTTTCATTTATATGTTTTTCTTAGACAGCTGGACTTTAGTATCATGGGCTACAAGGGAAAATCCTATCCTGGAACAAAAAAAAGAGCGTTTTTTCTCATGCTGTTGCCCTGCTAATATTTTTTTGGTTTTATCCTGGAAGGATTATCTCCAGCCCTTACAGAAGAGCTGATCCTGATAGCAGACCTTCATCTCTTAGAGCTCCTCGTAATTGTTAGTCTTTTCAAAGCACTTGCTTATTTTTGTTAGGGAAGGACTTCTTAACTTCTTAATGCTTTCTGGTTCTGTTTGAATCTTTCTAGTTTGTATTTCCTGATCTGTCTTCAGACTTCAAAACACTTTTTGGTATGAGGTTGTCCCTCAAACGTAAACTGTGTGGGCGCAAATGCTGCCATGTAATGGAGTCACGTGATGCAAGACCATCATCTGGCTGATGTTATGTGAGAAACTGAAGTCTTAACCCTGCCTGTGGGAATGTGTGGGTGGCAGCCACATGCTGAGGGTGGTGAGGCCTCAGTTCTTGATTAATTGGGAGGAAAGAGGGAGATAAAAGACAAATGAATAGCATGATTCAGATAAAGGCAACAGCTTGGAGATGTTTAATGACTGTGTATGACTATAATGACTGTTTTTAGTCCCCTTGCCTTTCCTCTTTCTGCCAGGATTCTACCTGAGAGGGCTTAAATAAGACTACATGACTTTGGATAAACTGATTTCCTTATCAACTAGAAGTTAAGGAGAGTGTTGGCTTTAGCTGGAGTAATGCTAGTCTCTAATGCAGACTTAGAAAAAAAAAATACTGTACAAACAAGTTTGTTTCTCTTTCATAGGTTTTCACACTCTGCACTTGGGGCTTGGTGTTCGATGTCTCCCTCTGCACACCCTCCTGCACTATATTGATAATGGAGTTTTGCATTTGACAGAAACATGTGTTAGGAAATTGCTCAAAGGTACAGTGAATTTCACGTGTCTCATTTGTTACCAGCCAGCTAATTGGGAGCGCTGTCCTTTCAGCCATTCAAACTCAGACACAGGATTTACTGCCCAGAAGACTCAGTTCTTCTTCCACAGTGCTTTTTCAGTGAGGGCAGTAGCTGATGGTGTTCCTGACAGGAGAAAATGAGGGCTCAGACTGTATGATTGAGCCTTACTGTAGTAGACAAATATCTGTTTGGGGAGAATTTGAGTTTAGAATTTTTCCACTTGAGACTTCTTACAAAAGTAAATACTGAAGATCATCGTAGAATTTGTTGGGGCATTTCTGAGACTCTGTGGAAGTGCACACCTATGGTAAGGAAGTTAGTCTGCTATCCAGTCCTCAGCTTTTGCTTTAATTATGTTTGAAACAAGATAGTCCTAGTGATGGGATTGGCAAATGGCTTGAAACTCAGTGCTATGAAGTAAAAATTCAAAATAAGTAAACAAAATCACACCTGACCCAGCATCGCAATATTTTTAGTAAATATTGAGGTTGTGAATATTTTCTAAATATATCTTAAGGTTACCTAAAGGTGGGAGCTAAAATCGGTTCTGTATGAACCCATATAATCATCAAGAGGGTCCTAAGGCTTTGGAACGAAATGGGGAGTAAGGCAAATTGGCCATTGTAGGCACAGTGGGCATCACAGCCATGTTAATCTTTTCAAGATCAGAAGAGAGGCAGAGAGAACTGTAGCATAGGTTTCCTGGGATACAGCAGCACCGTGATACAGGTCTCCAACAGTAATGCACTTCCTCACAGCTGCAACCACGTTCCCTTGTAATGTGCTATTTCTCCAGTGTTCAAGGGACACAATATGCAGTATTAGTCTGTTCCTGGTCTTGGAAAACGAAATATTGTAAATATGGGAGTTCTAGTTAGTCAAAATATGTTTCAATTACTCTATAAATTGTTACATAAAGTGGTGAAGTTATGTAGAAATGTACAAAAAGTATTTATATAAACAGTATAAATATAAGTAACACTCCCAACAGGCATTATTTAAAAAAAAAAATCTTCGTTTCATTACAGAGATGATATTCAGAATGTCTTAAATTAAAGTTGAAAGTGTTAGTTATGTGGTTACTGCTAACGGTGGTGGGGTTCTTTTTGTTTTTCTTTCTCTTGTAGATCTGGACGACACTGAGAAGAATGAAAAGCTGAAGTTCAGTATTGTCATGAGGCTTCCCGAGGTAACTAATAACTTTGGATGTCATTTCCTGGATTCTGGAATCGATTGGAAATTCCTCCCTGTGCATAGGATCAGGCCAATGGAAGACTTAGCTGTGATTCAAGTGGGGCACAGATACAGCGCGAAGCTCCACAGTTTTTCCATCTGCTGCTCATGACCTGAAGGGTACCCCAGCAAATTAAATTATAGACTTGTCCATAGTGTTGTAGAGGGTTGCCAGTACCCTGCAGGAATCAAACAGACAAGACTGACACTGTTCTGTTGAGTACTCACCTGTGTGAAGCAAGAATGGTTTTATGGGGTTTAAAGAGGATTTATTTTTGTGTGTGCATGTGTTATAGCGTCCACAAATGCCTTTCTCACTCATGACCTCTGCATTTGGTTTTATTCATTTTAGCAGATATGTTCAAAAGCTGGTACAGTAAAAGCTGTAAAATCTGATCATACCACAGCTCTGTGGCGGGGATTGAATCACAAAGTCTCTGAAATCTCCCAGCCTTGCCCATTGGTGAGGTGACTCGTTTAGCCTCATGTTGGAACTAATTACTGATGCTTCATTAAAAGGCCCAACAGAATGGGAGGTTGACTTCTCCTTTTCCCCTGTTGTTGGTGCACACCACAGTACTGTGGAGGAAGGACAACATCTCAGTGAGCAGGGGAAAACCAGGGATTCCCCCTCGGGGAGTGCCTTGCTGTAGAACAGGCTTTTCTCAACATAAGTTGCTTATTGTTTGTTCGTTATGGGCTGTTACGTATAGTTCAGATGGCCAGAAGTGCTGCTTTGGTTTTCCTCTAACAAGGGCTTCTTTATTTGGCATCAGTTTTGAGAAGGGATAGGGAAGGAGAACTCCACAGGACGTTCTTTGTCCTCTGTATCTTGTTTTGGGCATGGTTTGGTGAGCTGGGGTCAGCGTGGGGCCTCTCTGAGCTGTCAGCCCCAGGCCTGGTGGGTGGGGGACACCATTCCACCCGGGCTTTGACGTGAGGGGCTGAGCTGTGAGTGCTTTAGGGGATGTGTACTGCTAGTTACACACAGTAGACTCAGTGCCTTATTGTATCTATTTACAGCTTTGGGAAAAAATGCAGAGAATAGCTTGTTTGCCAAAGAGGACACTTTGGGGTGACTCAGACTATTTTGAGCAGGTTACATTCAGTAGATGACTTCAGTTGCCTCAGAAGCAAGTATTTAAGCACCATTGAAACTGCCCAGCATTTCCTAAATGAACTCTTTCAGTAGCCTGTATTGCAATACAACTGAAAATGGGGGCGGGGGGCAAGGATCTAGATAGGGAAAACAGCAGAGGGTGGAGCTAATTTCACAGTGCGTTCATATTTGTTTGCTTATTGGTTAGGATTGGAAGCTTTGGGACATCTGGGTTTGAATCTCTCTTGCTTTTGGGAAGGTGAATCAATTATATCAATCCCCAGGATGATGCCCTATAAACAACGGGATGCAAATTCTGTTCCCAGTGTCCCTACTTTTTGGCATTCTGCTTTTGTAAGATTCCTTAGAATGAGCCTGAGAGAAGCCCTGTTCTGAATGGAGCGTTGAGGAATGGGGCACCTGTGTTATTCTTTGGAAGAAGAATGAATCTAAACCAGAGAGTCACAGTGAAGGATAAATGGTCATTTTAAGCCTCACTTAATATTTAAGTACATGTGCAAAGTGGGACAGAGGTAATGGGACAGAATGACTGAAAAGTACTGAGCAGCAAGGTTTTGATTGCTTCCCATGTTTTGGGAGCGTATTGTAATCTCTTAGGAAGGCTCTGTGGCTAAAAACGATGACGCCTTAGCTTCTGTCATCAGCATCTGAAAGCAAAGCAGTCTATGTTACAGCCTGGCTTTTGTTTCTGGTTTTGCCTCCTTTTCCCCCTCCTAAGTTTCCACTGTCCTGTGTTTATGTTCTCAGGTTTTTGGTTTTTGTTTTTTGCTTCCCAGGCTCTTGGTCAAAAGGTCCGCCAGTTTTGGAATCATCCGATAAATGCTAATTTCATTGCACGGAAATATGTGAAACTTTTGCTTGAGAAGCTGGGGAACAGGCAGGTAAGAGCACTTAGGCCAATTTTTTTTTAACCTTTTCCTTTGCCAGCGTTGAGATTCCTGATCTTTCTGTAACTAAATAACACGCTAAAGAGAACACTGAAACTTGGTGCTGTGTGACTTGTGAACTAACCTGAAATATTTTCTCTTGCAGTGTAGCAGGCCTATCCCTGAGAGGCTCTCAGTCCCCGTAGAGTTTTTGCCACTTAACTACCTGACTAATATGCTGGCAGAGGTAGAGAGTCAAGGTAATGTCAGTTGTGTACTTTGGAAGACCGGTAGTTATGCTTAGATGCTCACGCTCGGCTGTATCCTGACTATATTGACATAACTGAGTTCTAAAACTCCAGTGATGTCCGAATGTATAGGTTTGGTCGTCTTGCTGCTGATGGGAATTGTCAAGGGGCTCCTTCACTGCATATCCTTTCGTCCAAATCCTCTGGGTGTTGAATCCAATTGGCAAACCCGTGTTTTTCAGAACATGTGTAGTGGAACATGGTTCATGTACCGCGTGGTGGTAGCCATTATTTGTGTTCAAATGGGAAGAAGGGCTTGTTCCTTATTTATACAGTATGGTGGCTAAGAGGCAACCAGAATCTTCCAAGATCTTCCACCTCAGAAGATAGTATCCAGAGGTGCTTTGAAGTAACAGGCATTTTTTATTTCAATGCTGTTCCTTTTTTTTTTTTGAAGTTAAATTGAGATTGGTTAGGGCACTTGCTTCAAGCAGTGAACCTAAGCATGTGAAGATGCCGAATTCCACTGAAAAAGCAAGGTGCTTTAAGGGAGGCGTTACACTTTTTAGCGTTACTGGCTATGCCTATACTAATAAAATAAAGTCAGGTTAAGGACCTGAAGGCTGAAACAGGATTGTCCATGTATGGATATCATCCCATCTGGGGAGGAAAAAAAGAGTTAAACCGTATAGAAGCATGTGAGAAAGTGCCCTGGTGCGTTTCACATACTAGCATGAACATAACCACTGTGCTTAAATCTTGGTTTGGGTCTCCCGTGTAGAACTAGCACGGAAGTCCCTAGTGGCCTCCAGAGGTGGTCTGTCATTTGCTTATATCCCACTAACAGGGAAGTTTCTGCCATGGGTGAGCATCCAAATGGCTCTGCTGAAAGCTGTAGGTATTCTGTGTAAATGAAAACACAGTTCCGCCTATTACCTTCTCTTTCAGTATTGTAGGTGAAGATGTTTAATAGACTGCAGGGCTAAGCGTGCAAGAACACTTACCATTTTGTCAACACTAACTTTCTCACAATGTTTGCCTAGGTGTGCATCCATATGAAAAACAAGATCACGTTAATGTAAGATTTGTGGAGGAAACGGCACTCAAACACACTATGACGCTTTTGGGCCTCAAATATTCCTGAAAGGACATGCTGTTGAAGAGGGCTAACTGTGGTATTCTTAGGTAAAAGCATTCACACAGAAGTGTGCAACCAACTTTTTTGTGTGTTTGTTTAAACTTAAATGTCATGTTGTTTTCCAAATGACCTGCAGTTTTGTGTAGCCACCATTACTGACATAAGCTACTCGAAATACTCTTTTGTATTGAGGCTTCTAGATAAAGCCTGGAGAAATTCATCTGACACAAACCCAGGTTTCCAATGGAAGGTATCTGTGGTTTCATTGTTTCATGTGGAAGTGGTCAAAGAAGCGGAACTACAGCGAGTACCAAAACGTGCTGTGAAAATGGTGTGAATGTCAGCTATTTTAACAGGACGGATAATCCTGAAAAAGGTAGTCCAGTTCTATTGTACGGTAACAAGAAACCAGTAACTGTTTACTCATTTAGATTAATAACAGGATTTCTTGGCGTGTTTATGTAAAGCAGGTAAGAATAACAAATGATGAATTAGTCTCTGTATGTAATGCATCACTAACGATGTATTCATTCCTTGTGTTATGGTACTTCTGCCTTTGGGGTTGGATCCTAATATATTCAGTTTTGTAATTAGCACAAATATAATCTTATTAAAGTGCACATGACAGGTTTTGGTGTTGTTTTTTTTAAGTTATGTATACTATATTGTAAGCAATACAGGGTAAGAAAAAAGTTCTTTAGAAATTTACCTTAACAGTGACTTGGACAGAGTTTTACTTAATTCTTTCCTTACAACTTTTAGTGTTACAGTTCAAACCTCAGTTTCAAAAAGAAATGATGGAGGTTGGTTTTCCTTCATTTTCAACTTTTATTTGTATATAACTGAACCAGTGTTGTTTGCTTTTTAAGTTCTGAACTGTGACATTAGTTTAAAATAGTAACAGTGGTTTGCTATGCAGAAAAAATCTTAAGTTCTGACATGTAGGATTTCTGCAGTCTTTACTGGATTTAAAAACAACTCTATCAAAGTTTCAGACTGTTAAACTAGTGAAACCCCCTGACAATTTGATTGATTTTGGAGGTTTTCAATAGCCACCTCCAGTACACTCTCTGAGCAGTTTCCACTGATGCTTCCTGTTCCTAACCAGTGAAGAAAAAAGATCCAGTTCTTGGGAGCGACTTGGCAAGTTCATGGTCATTCCCTTGTCGTTGCCATCAGTGGAGCAAGAGTTTTAGCTTTCTCAGTCACTGCTTAGAGGGAAGGAATATTTTTCTCAGTGGAACTAAAATTTGCCTGGCAAGCCTAAACTCCAATCCCAGACTGCAGAAAGCTGTGCTGGTGTATTTGTGTACCTGGTGGGGACGTTGTTCCTGTTACATTAACAACAAGAGAAGATTTTCTAGCCTTTTCTTTTTAATGAAATGTATTAGAAAATATAATCAGATGCCATACAACTTCACCTGGGGGGGAAAAAAAAAAGCATAGCATGAAGATCACTCATTTTTCTTAACATTTTAAAATACTGCACTGCATTTGGGATACTGGGCTCCTCTTAGCCAGGAGAAGGGAACTCGCATCACTGACTCTTTAGCTATGCTTCTGGAATCACCAACGGCTTTGTTTTCAGTATGGAATTTGGCTAAACACTAACGGACATTCCTTCCGTGCAGTGCGAATGCTATTGACCCTTGAGATTCAGCAACTGGTAACGGCCTCTCCTGCTTTAGGTGCTGTCTGTTCAGATTTCAATTGGCTTTACAAGAGGTTTCCTGAAGTGTCTCATATTTGAACCAGGTTCGCTTGGTTTGAAAGGAGCCAGAGCGCCGTAGGGCCGCGGCAGTGGGAGACTGTATTCATCGCCTGGGATGTAGGCGGTTGGGCGTTGCTCAGCGGTTGTGTGGACGCAGCCGGGCGCTGAAGCCAATTCCTCTTCTGCGGCACGCTGTGAAAGAAACACCTTTTGATCACTTGGTGATTACATGCTTTAAAACACCGGTACTCTCCTGAGCCAACGCACAGCCTGCCCGACAAAGGGCACACCTTTACCCTAACCCTTAGACCAGCAAACCCAGAGGGGTATTAAGTGTTCATTAAAAGGCAAGCATGAGTTATTGACCACGTAGGTGTGAGTTTGTCCTGTTAGATAGTGTACAGTTTGAGCCTGTACTGCTTTTGTTATTTGTGAAGAAAATTGATTAGATGAGCTTATAAAAGTTGTAATAAATGTGCACAGAAGGTTTTGGGAACAGGGCAATTGTTCTGATGCTTCAGAACGCGGCTGTATTTACGCTGACAGCAGCTGCTCCTGAATACAGTTACCGCAGCGAGCTTATATCTGCAGCGCTGGAAGGAAACTGAGTCATAGCAGGAGCAGAAGTGATAATGATGGAGAAGTTTCTTATCTGAAACCAGTTTTACTGCAGCACTCCTGCGTGACTTCATGTTCTGTAAGTGTATGCACAGCGTGTTCCTCTCCCAGCTTTGTGCACCTTTCAGGTTCCCTTGGAGTGATCGGCTAAAGCATCTCAGTTGATATTAGCATAGAATAGAATCATAGAATCATAGAATCGCTTCTGATATTAGCATAGAGATGTTAGCATAGCATATTAGTAGTAGACATTAGCATATCAACTAAAGCAACTCTAGCAAAGCTAATTTCCCATCAGCAAGAGTTCCCTCTGCATACACACCTTGCTTTTACACTATTTTGTCTTCTCTGTGAGCTCTCTGCTCAAGGGTTACTGATGGTCTCAGTTAAGGAGGCAAAGTGTCCAGCCCTGTTTGATGCCCTGCCCTGCCTACCCTCAGTGTCTTGCCCAGCAATCTGATTTCATGCTGCTTCTGATCTGATGTTCACTCCATCCAATACGTGGAAGACGCTAAACTTATTTTTCCTGAACCCCCCACACCACCTTGAAATCAGATGGAAAGCAGTACTTCACCGATGGTGCTCTCGCCCATCATCCCAAAACATGGTCACACAACTTACTCGAATAATTGAAGGCGAGTCTTGCTTCTAGTGTAACGTGTTCCCCCCTTAAGACCAGCTCTAAGCAGTGTGCCAGGCTGCAGGGAAGCCCCCCAGCCCCCGCTGTGCCGCTTCAGCAGTGGTCTTTGCTCCGCCATCCCCGCTGGCTCCCGGAGCCCGGTGTTTGGCGGCCAGCGCAGCTCTTTGAGAAGGGCAGGCTGGAGCAGCGAAAAGATGGGGCTGCAGATCTGATTGCAACACACGGCAAAAACTTACTTTAGCTCTGGCTTCAGCTGCTTCTTTTTGCAGCTTCTCGTTGCGCAAGATCTTCAACCATTCATTTTCTGTTTCTTTGGGAGGGGGAAGGCCTTGATCGATCCTTGATGAAACGGTCATCAAAAAATGTTCTTTGTTCCTCATTTCCTGCTGGAGTTTAATGGCAAGTGCTTGCTTCATGGAGAGCTCTGCAACAAGAGCCATCATCTGCTGGGTTCTGTGCTTTACCATCTTCTGCAGTTCGTTTGTCTGGAATAAGTAACGTTTCAGTTAGGGCTTCCCTTTAGACACTTGCTGGGTGTGATGCTTAGGTAAGCACTGGGTACATGAAAACAAGCCCAGCTTGACTCTGTTTTAAAAAATAGTTCCATGAACTATGACTTTTTGAAAATGACTTAATGAAATGGGATGTGTGCTTCTGTGCATGCTCGGCACCACAGAAACTTGTATTAGAATTCACATTTATTCCAATTCAAGGTACAGAAAAGCGAGTTGGTATTTAGCTTCTGCCCTTTTCAGCTGAATAGCAAAACGCCCACTGCCCTCAAGGGCCAGGTATTAAACCCAGGTTCTGATTGACCTTGTGCACAATTAACATTGTAATAAAGGGGTAATAAGCCTGACCCTTACAAGGTAACTGAGTGATAATGCGGACACAGCAGGGCTGCGGGCTGTGAAGTTATCCTTGGCAGGGGGATGAACAGAAAAGGAATGGGACAGGAATCCTTGGGTCTGACTGGAGATGATTTAAACAAAAAAAACCCAACAGAAGTCAAGTACTTTTTTTTTTTTTTTTTTTTTTTTTAAAAGTGAGTAGCAGGGGATTGGGAGAGTCAGAGCACTCGAATGTAACTTCTGGCACGCTGCCATTTTTACAGTCATTTATTAGCCCATGGCCATGACTTCACAAACCCAGATAGCAGCCATGTTACTTCTCTGTCTGTGGAAAATTAAAGATTTGCTATAAAGATGCATTTTGTTTTAAGCCTTTCCTAGTGCCAAACCTAACACCAAAGAAAAAAAAAATCAACCCTGGCCTTGTTTTACCTTCATTACTTGGCATTGTTTTTCTGCCTTTCACTCAGCTCTGCTCTAGAGCTTTTTCATTAAGGAGGTGGGGGCGAGGGGATTTTTGCTCTTCCCCAAACAATATTACTGGCAGTTAAAGGGAAGTAGCTATCATTATATAAAAGTAACTATATTGAAGAGGATATTTCTTTTCTGTGTGGTTCTCCCTACCTAAATAACAAAGAAACTTTGAGCTTGTTACTGAGTTTATCTTGTTCTGTGTTGGAGGGATATAGAACTTAGTTGGCTTTTGCCTATTTGTTTTTATTTATGACATGTTTGTTGTGGAAGGGCTGTTAAGTACACATGCAAAAGGAGGATTATCCCAAGTTTCTAAGCGTTCAGCCTGAGCAATAACTAATCCTATATTTTGGTGAAAGGTTCTATTCATGGTGCATCTTGCTTTCAGAAAGAGCGCTTGCTCTGTCTGCACTACAGTTATTGCTAAACGTCTATAATTTCTGAAGACCAACATGTGACTTGCCTATCAATATTTCCAGGCGCTAGTTTTGCAATTTGCAAGTGAGTCATCTTACCTCTTGCCCAGATATTACTTCGTTTCATATAGGCCAGCAAGCAGAGCGTGCAATGCCCTTCTTACCCTTTTAGCTAACAGCAGCGTGTCCTGCTTCCCGTCCTCTGCCGTGGCACGGATTCTGTCCGTCAGCCGGGAAACATGCTCGTGGAGAAGGTCAGTCTCCAGCAACTTCTCCTCCTTCTGCACCAGCAACACCTCTAGCTGCAGCAAGAAGGAGTATACAGGGTGTAGGTAAGCAACAAGGGAAGGTGCAATGCAAGGTGTTCCTGGGCTTGCTTTGAGAGGTGCTGATATAATACCCATGAACAGCCATAAATAATCACTTCACCATCGGTCTTCTCAAAATTTTCACCCTCTCTGCCAAGCATCAGGCCAAAGTTGGTTCAGTTGGTTACTGTCAGCCACACAGTTCTCCCATATCAGACCAGGACCTGTTGGGGGGCTGGGGGCTACACCAATTTACTACTGTCTCACTGTGATTTTCTTGAAAAAAATGGGGTTTTTCTAGTGTTTTTTTTTTTAATCTTCTAGTTCCTTGAGTCACGCCATAGTAAGAAGATTTCAGCTCTTGCTTTAAATATATTTTCCCTCCTGCTGTTATAAAAAAAAAAACTAAGTATGGGCTCCAAAGGCTAAGAAAGTACTGTGCAACTGAAAGGACTTGAAAACCACAAGAAGATTGAAAGAGAACATTTCAACTTATCTCACCACTCCAAGAACCCCGGCTTTTTAATGTGCGGGTTGGTAATAGCGGGCTGTGTTGTAGCCTGCTTGGCTACGCAGCGCTCCCTCCTATCGAGGAGTATGGGACAGTAAAGCAAAAAGCTCAAGTACTTCAAGCGAAAGTGTTCATGGTAAATCCTTACAAGCTGGATTTCAAAAGGAGGGCTTAGGTGTGCACTGCTCCGAGCTCACCGGTACCCTGATACCTTCACAGTCCTGTGTGAATCCTCCCCAGACACTAAATACAGCGGGGGAGCTGTGTGCCCCTGTAAACGAGACAGACAAAAATATCTAAGAAAATAACCATGGTTGCTCATTCCCTTTACAGGAGGTGCCCTGAAATTGGCTTTTCTGTTGGGGCTGATGCTTTACTGGCCGCAGTCGCTGGCGGTGCTGCACTTGGGTGTGCGGCTGCTGGCCTGGCCGGGCCTGGCCTGGCCGCCTCTCCTGCAAGGTCTGTTCCCTGGCTCCCGGTTGGGCGTGGAGCCAAAGCCTGAGAAGGGTGTTTGCTTGATCCTGCATCACGTTGGAAGGCTTTGTTAAGAGGGCAGTGGGACTGCCTCCGGCTCACAGCCTGAGCCTTGTGGTGGAGTAGCTAATGGCCCATTGCAGGACAATGATGAGTTTGTTCGGTAGCAGTTTGATATTTTGCATTCATTTCCCTCTGCCGCCTTCTCTGTGCCTTCCCGTAGTGGAGCAGGAGGGTCTGCTCTGGAGCACCACTGATGGGAAGGGACCCGCTAGCAGAGGACGCTGCGGAGCCAGGTGTGCCGCCCTGAGCCCGTGTTTTGCTCCTGCCCTCCAGCCTCTGCTGGAAGAAGTCAAGATGTCCCCCATCCTAGTTGGCCTGGAAAGCGGACACTGGGCTGGAGTTCCCATTAGCCAATCATAATTATTTTAATTCTTCTTACAGAAAGTTCATTTTAAAAATAAAAGATGCCATTTGCTTTTTCTAAAAGAGGTCAATCCTAGCGTGAGGGCTTGTGACGTGAGAAGTGATGTTACCTGCTCAATCTTTTTTAGCAGCTCAGGTGGAGATGGGTCCTTCCCTCCCAGCTCTCGCTTTCTACTCTCATTTGCGGGGTCAGCAAAGATTTCTTCCATCCGTTTAATCCTGTCCTTGCACTGGGAATACTAGCAAACAAAAAGCCACAATGGTTATGTTGTCAGACAAGAAGCCAAGAGCCCTGTTATTACTGCGTGACCAGAGGTGGAGGGGCTCAGTGTGCCTGGCTCACACCAGGAGAACTGCCTTAACGTGGCTGGGGCGGCTGCACTGCCAACTCCGGGGCTTGGAAGCAAGATTCCAGCCTCACTGGGAGATGTTTGGGATGCTCAGGCAGTGTAGGATTAAGCAAAACAATACTGGTCAAACACTGGGAAACATTTCCATACAAAACCAGAGGTGGACGTACGTCATTCTCCTGTCCTACTGCTAATGAGCGGGAATTTGAAAAAACAGTAGTTTGTGTCAGAGAAGGTCGTCCCTGTAACGCACAAATACAAATCAGCTTTATCTTATTAATAGCTTAACTGCCTTGAATGCTTGTTCCCTTGCCGCCTCCTCCATGTGCACCACCACCACCTCTAACTGTGCACACATGATGCTGCCGCGTGGAAGAGGCTTTTTCTGTGAGCCACCAGCTATCGCGACAAGAGCCCTGGGCTGGAAGATGATTTTCATTGCGTTTGGTAAGACAGAAAAAGGCCATCCTGGGGGCTGTTGCCCTCTTCAGCTTCTGCTGGTGGCCTGGATGAAAAACCACAGATGGTTTGTACCAAATTGCGTCCTTCGGCCACAGCTGGGTGGGGTCAGGGCCACCCTCTGCTGTTAGCAGGCGGGGGACGGAGCGCAGCCCCTGGGGCTGGGCAACGAGCTGGGACCCGCCACAGCTACGGCTCCGTCCCGAGGAGGGAGAGGACCACTGTGAAGGGTGGGAGCCCCCCCCGGTCTCTTCCCCCTCCCCAGGCCTCTGCGGCCCAGCTGAGCCAGCACCTCCAGGGGCAGAGGCAGCTATGTGGGGGGGACGGGGACGGTGGGTGCCTGGGGCTCCCCTGGGGCTCACAGCAGGAGCACCTCCCTCCCTGCCGAACTCACCCCCAGAGTCTGATCCCGCAGACCTACTCAGTGCTAACAGATGAGGTTTCCTTGTGCTGGCGGGGATAGGGTCAATACGAAGGGATATGAGAAATTGTGGTGTTTTGTTTTTTTTTTAATTATACAAAGGTGTGACAGTTGCAGGATGGAAGCAAGTGCTGATGTCTGCCAGAAATTGAGTCCCACCTGCTGCTTTGTCCTCAGGTTACTTTTTTTTCCCCTCAGGAATACACCAAACACTGTAGGTAGGAGGTCTTCCTTTATTCCCTATCTTATCTTCCATTTGACCCACAGGATCCATTTAGGGATGTAGGAAGGATCCAAGTGCCTGACAGTTTGGTTGCAAGTTAAATCTGGAAGTCCTTCTTCCTGCTGGTTAGCACTAGAGGTCTCATCCCTATAGCCATCCGAGTTTTCTACATTCCATGCATGTGTCCTGATGTGACTCAGTGGTGACACTGAGCGATGTGGTGCTCTGGGGACCCATAGAGGCAGGTGTTCCCTGACCTTTCCGATGTGAGACCTTCCCATGGAATAACGCTTCCCGGAATACAGCAGATGAACACCCGTGCTTTGCATAAATAGGAGTGACTGGGACCGTTTCTTCATGTTTGGGCTTTGCAGGACCTAGAGCGGTGGGGTTTGGCGCTTCGGCATGCACCTGGCCATCCATCAGCACATTGTCACTCCAACCTTGATCTATTGGCACTGATGTGACATAACCCAAGTAAGCTGCTATAAATGCTAACCACCAATTGCAGGTGATGATCTTATCAGGGAAATAAGTGGTCACTGGCTCTTAAAGTTGTGAACAGTCAGCAAAAAGCCAAAGTAAATGTTTAGATGTTGCTACAGGGATGGGGTTTGTTCACTGGAAGTTAACAAGTCATGTTTAACTGGCAAAGGGAAAACTGACAGGTTTTCTCGGGTGCTAGTGGAACATTTCCAGAACGCTTGTCTCAAACACTTCTTTTTCTGGTAAAAAAGCATCATGCAGCTCGCTATTTCACACTTTGTCTGAGAGCAGGCAAAGCAAAAACCTTAGATAACGTAATGAACAATTTCCTTGTCAAATCATGATTCGGTTTAAAATGAAAACCATTCAGTCTGTAACTACTTTCAGGGGTACGAAAGATTGATTTGTTTTCATTATAGACAACTAAGGCTCAAGCCCAATAATACACAGAGCAGAAGGTGGTAAGCGCAGGACCAGCACGAACAACGGGACGCAGCGGTGCTGCCAGTGGTGTTTCACACCTGGGGCCAAGTTTCTCAACTGCTAACTCAGGTGAAAATGCCTTGTTGGAGGCAGTGGTGCCTCAGGGAGATTAGGGACAGCGCACCAAGTACAATTCTGCAGGATTGAATTGTTACTTTAGAGAAGAAGGACTTGCAGAAAAAACACTGTCCAAACCAGAAAAAACATCCATAAAAAGTTTCCTGTTAAATACCTGACTTTTAAATGCGATATGAATCGGAAGCAATTAGATGCAGGCTGATCCAACAGCACGGAAAACAAAGCGCATTTAGAAATAACCACACAAGTGTGTGTTTGCTGAAGTGACGTGCTTATAGGCATCTTTATTTTCTCCTAATTTGCAGTGTTTATCTGAGTTCTAAGAGATTCCAAGTCTTCAAACCAAAAAAACCCGTTCTTTCTTGGAGTGGATTTGATACGGGGGATAGGAAGACAAGGGAGAGGCTTTTCTGCATTTGATTGTAAGCAGTCAGGGGGAAGCGCTGAAGGACCAACAGCCGAGGGGGACCACGTGCCTACATAAAGGGAACGGTCTGACAAAGTGGAGGTCCTGCTCCTTATTTTGGAAATTTCAGAGAAGGTAGGTGAGGTACGTAGAGAACTGGAAAAAGGCAAATACCATACTTATTTTTAAAAATGGGGGGAAAGGAGCTATGGAACTATAGATAACTTATCTTCACTTTCCGAAGAATACATCTGGAACAAATCGTTAAGCTTTCTTTGTAAGTAGCTAGAAAAGAAAAAGGGTTTGAATAACAGCCAACACAGGTGTGACGAGTGATGCCAAACCAGCCCAGTTTCCTACTGCAATAATTCAACATCTGTGAGCCTGACAAACAGTAGGTATCATACATGTTGATTGTTACATGGCTTCGATATTGTTTCATATCACATTCTTATAAACAAGCTAAGGAAACAGAGTCTTGATGAATATACAAGGTAAGTACTACATCAGTAGAATGAGGTTAAGCTCAGAGAGACTGCAAATACTTTTTGGAGGAGGAGGAGCTTAAAATTCAAAATTACCTTGATCTGAAAAAAGTTCTGAACAAAAGAGATAAAATCAAATAACAAATGCAAGGTGCTACATGTAGGCAGGAAAAATTACTTGTACAAATACAGAATCAAGGTCAACTTATTAGATACCCATTCATTTAAAAAAGGGTCTGGTTGTTACATGCATTTATGTGAAGATGAATCAAGATGTCATGTTGCAAGAAAGGCTACCATCGTACCTGGACACGTAAGCA